ACCATCTTGGGCGTCTTGGTGCGATCGTTGGGCGTGTCGGGGCCCTCTTGGACCCTCTTGGGGCCCTCTTGGGGCCCTCTTGGCCCGACTCGGGGCCCTCTGGGGCCCCGAAAAGTCGCGCGAGAAGATGCGTGGGAGCCCAGGGGGCACGTGGAAAGCCCTGGGAGACTGGGCAATTTGGGCTCCAGGCCTCTTAAAGATTCCTCGGGAGCGAGGGCTGAGGCTTAAAGGGATTCGGCAAAGGACCTGAGGCCACGCCCACTCCGTATGGTGGCCAGCATGTTGATTTGGATATATATATATATATATATAGGTGTGTGTGTGTATGCAGATGGCGTAGGTTTCTACGTTCGTATGTATGTAGACAAACATATCTATACATGTATATGCATGTATATGTATAAACAGGTATATATACACATGTGTACAGATGTGTATGCACGTGTGTGTAAATACATATAGAGAGATACGTATGCACCCGCATGTGTACGTATATGTATATGCAACGATATACATGGTTCGTATGTATGTTTACGAATAAATAGATATATCATGGCATTCGGTTCATCCCGCCAACGATATATATATATATGTGTATATATATACATATATATATGTATATATGTAGAAAACGTATGTATGTGTATGTCTCTATAGGTCTAAAATGGCGTTCGGTTTCGGTTCATCCCGCCACCGCGCTTGGGTTGTAGGTCGTAGGCCTTTCGGATGTTCGTGGGGAGGTCGTGGGGGGGCCTCGTGGGGTCCCGTTGGAGCCAGTTTGGAGCATCTTGGTGGCCTTTTTGGGTCCTCTTGGGGTATCGTTGAAGCTCTTGGGGGTTCTTCGGTGCTCCTGGGGGTATGAGTATTTTGAAAGCTCGAATTGTCGGTTTGAGTTGCACCTCTTGGTTCCCACTTGGGGCCGTCTTGGGGCTCTCGTGGGCAGTCGGGGGCGCGTGGGCCGTCTCGGGGGCTCTCTTAGGCAGTCGTGGGGCCATCCTGGGGGCCGCTTGGGCCATCTTGGGGCGATCTTGGGGGCCTCTTGGGCCATCTTGAACACCGTAAGGCCGAAAAGCCATACATGTTAACCATGCTTGTTTACTGTGAGGGCTTTGACGATGGTTGCCTCTTGGGGCCTTGTTGGGAGGTTGGGAGGTCTCTCTTGCGGAGTCTTGGGCGCTTCTTCAGTCGTCTTCAGGCCATCTTGGGCGTCTTGGGCCGATCGTTCGGCGATTCGGGGCCCTCTTGGACCGTCTTGGGGGCCTCTTGGGGCGCTCTTGGCCCGTCTTTTGGTTTTCCTGGGCCCGAACAAGTCACGCGACAACACGTCACGGGGCCCAGGTGGCATGCGACGAGCCCCAATAGCGTTGAGAAGTTTGTGTCCTGGCCCCTTCAGGGGACCCTCACGCTTGGGAGACAGGAGCGCTGTGGGGCCCTCTTCTCTCGCAAGCAACGAACAAGTCACCTGGATCAGTGATCCGCTCTTCGCACTGTGATGCGGCACGGCGCCCAATCCTAATCGAATGGTGCTCACCCGAGGCCCCAGGGCCCGAGGCACACGCATTTTGGGCGGAGGGTCCGTGGGCCGCTCGGGGGCCCCAGGGCGCTCGAGGGAGGGACAAGGAAGCCAGGCAAGCATGACCACGTACAAAAACATGCGTCCTCACATGGGAAGGCAGGGCCATCTTTAACAAACAACAGCGAGAGTCGCTTGTTTCGTGGTTGTTTCCCTGCTTCTTTCCCTGTGAAGGCACAGGCGCTTCACGGTGTTTCCATGCTGCTCCTGCGTTCCTCTCCGCCGTTCTGCTGCGAGGGCGGGCCGTGAGCCGCTCGGAGACCCCAGGGGCGCCCGGGGGAGGGAGGAGGAGGCAAGGGAAAGCGTGAAACAGCACAGTCAAACACTTGTGTTTTCACACGGAACAGTAAGACCAACTCGAAGCACAGCGACAGTCACAGATGTCGTTGCTTAGTGCTCGTTCTTTCACATAGAAAAGCACAGGAAGCCAGGAAAAACGCCAAACAACACAGAGTTAAACACTTGTGTTTTCACACGGAACAGTAAGACCAACTCGAAGCACAGCGACAGTCACAGATGTCGTTGCTTAGTGCTCGTTCTTTCACATAGAAAAGCACAGGAAGCCAAGGAAAACGCCAAACAACACAGAGTTAAACACTTGTGTTTTCACACGGAACAGTAAGACCAACTCGAAGCACAGCGACAGTCACAGATGTCGTTGCTTAGTGCTCGTTCTTTTACATAGAAAAGCACAGGAAGCCAGGAAAAACGCCAAACAACACAGAGTTAAACACTTGTGTTTTCACACGGAACAGTAAGACCAACTCGAAGCACAGCGACAGTCACAGATGTCGTTGCTTAGTGCTCGTTCTTTCACATAGAAAAGCACAGGAAGCCAGGAAAAACGCCAAACAACAGCACAGTCAAACACTTGTGTTTTCACACGGAACAGTAAGACCAACTCGAAGCACAGCGACAGTCACAGATGTCGTTGCTTAGTGCTCGTTCTTTCACATAGAAAAGCACAGGTTATGGTTTGGGTGCTCTGTTTTTCCTGTTTCCCTCTTCCTCCTCCGTCCCCTGTTCGGCTCCTCCCCCTCCTCTTCCTCTGCCTGTTCGTCCTCCTCATCTTTCTCCTCCTCCTCCTTCTCCTCCACCTCCTCCTCCCCCCGCTTCATTGGATTTTGCTTTCACAGGGAACAGTAGGAAAGAGCTAGGATGACCTGTGACCGTCGGTACTTTTATGGTGCAGACGCCCCACACTTACAACCAGGTTGCAGCAGCCTTTACACAAGGAGATCATTACCGGCGATTTTACACAAGGATTTCAAGTGAGGGCGGTCTGCAGTGGCCTCCATACCTAGAATACTGTTTTCCAACAGCCTTTACAACGTGAATCCTTCCGTGGCGGCCTCACAAAAGAGTTGTCGCTGCGGGGGGATCTGCAGCGGCGGCACCGTGAGCCCAGGAAAGCTACAGAGGAACATATGAAACAACAAGGCTTGCTTTCACATGGAACACTGAGAAATACTGGAAATACCTGCGACGGTCGGTACTCTGATGGCGCAGACGTTCCACACTTTACATCCGTGTAGCAGCCTTTTCCCAGCAGGATTCCTGCTGCGGCGAACCTGCGCAAGGACTGCAATGTCCTCCACACTTAGAACCCTTGTGCAACAGCCTTCCCAACATAATTTCCTTAGTGACGGCCTTACAACATGGTTTTAATGGTGGGGGGGGGGTACGCGCGACAGAAATTATTGTGGAAAGGCTGTTACAAAACAGCTCCACGTGTGAAGACCATTGCAGATCCCCCTCGCTTGGAATCCTTGTGTGAAGTCGCCACGCAAGGAATACTGGTGTAAAAGGCTGCTGCAACATGATTCTAGGTGTGGGACGTCCGCGCCGTAAGAGTACCGACAGTCACAGGTCTTCCTAGCTGGTTCCTATTGTTCTATGTGAAGAGATCTGCCTTTTCCTGTTGTTCATGTTTGTTTGTTTTCCTGTCTTGCTCTCTAGAATTCCTGGGCTCGAGGTGCCGCCACTGCAGATCCCCCCGCAATGAACACCTTGTTTTGTAAGGCCGCCATCAAGGACATTGTTTTGTAAAGGCTGTTGAAAAAGTGTCCTACGTGTGGAAGCCACTGCAGATCCCCTTCAGTTGAAATCCTTGAGTGAGGTCGCCATTTCACGAATCCGTGTGCAAAGGCTGCTGCAGCATGATCTTAATTGTGGAACGTCTGCATCATAAAAGTAACGACGGTCACAGATATTCCTAGCTTTCTCTTGTTCCCTTGCTGAACACACAAATTTGTTCCTGTGTTCTTTGTGTTCCAGTGCTCCTCTTTAGCTCTCCTGGGCTCAAAGTGTCGTCATTGCAGATCCCCCCACAATGAAAACCTGTTCGTGGAAGGCCGCCACAAAAGGATTCCCTTTGTAGTAGTTGTTACAAAACGATTCTAAGTGTGGAGGCCATTGCAGTACCCCCTTACTTGAAATCCTTGTGTAAGGTCGCCATAAACGGGAATCCTTGTGTAAAGACTGCTACAACATGAATATGATTGTGAAGCGTCTGCGCCATAAACTTACCGACGGTCACAGGTATTCCGAGCTGTTTCCTTTTGTCCATTAGGAAACGCATGTTTGTGTTCATGTTGTTCCCGTTTTTGTTCTCACGTTTTCCTCTTTCGCTTTCCTGGGCTCCAGGTGCTGCCACTGCAGATCCACCCACAATGAAAACTCTTTGTAACGCCGCCACAAAAAAGAATCCCTTTGCAAAGGTTGTGACAGGACAAGATTATAAGTGCGGGGCGTTTCCATGAGAGGAATGCAGAAGAGCTGGGAGAACGATGGGAAGGATATAAAGAAGTTCATGATGCTTCAAAGAAAGGATCCCTAGGTCAGGATTACAAATGCTTTATAACAAAAATGCGCTGGTTGGAATTGCACAAGCGAACGACCATGGGATCGCGATGATGACGGTGAGGATGCGAATTCTGATGCAGACGATGATGCTGTTGAAAATGATGAAGATAATGATGATTATGATGCAGACGATGAAGATGAAGTTGACGATGATGATAATGATGATCACGGCGATGTGAATGGTGATAATGATGATGATGATGCTTGTGATGCAGATGATGCTGATGACGATGACGAGGATGCGCAAGTTGCGAGACAGTAAGGCCCCACAGCATTCCCATCTCACGTTTTGAGGACTGAAGCTTAAGGGAATCGGCCAGGGATGTACATACATATAGTTTTCTGTATATATATATATAAAAAGGTATATTTGAGCGTTGTCTGTATATATGTATACATAGAGAGAGAGAGAGAGAGAGAGAGAGATAAAGGCATACGTCCATATAGTCACTTTTCTGTATATGTGCCTCCCTAGTCAAGCCAGGAGAACGTATACGGGCCCAGGATGCCAGGATGGGCCCGGCCAGGGCTGGTGCACAAGCGTGCCCCGCGCCACCCCGAGGAGGAGGGCGTGCTCGCGCCGCTGTCCGCGCGCTGCCGGAGCCGGGGCGTCCCGTGCCCCCTGTGCGAGCCAGGCGGCTGCCCTTGAGCAGGGCAGCCGCCAGGCGGCTGCCCTCGAGCGCCTGTGGCTCGCACAGGCGGCCCCTGTGCGAGCCAGGCGGCAGCCGAGGGCAGCTCTATTTCCCCCAGGTGAGGTCCGAGCAGACTGGGTCCGAGCATCTCGCCGCATCGCCGATGCATCTCGCTGTGCTGCGAACGAACAACGCACACAAACACCCATACCCATAAGGGGGCCGTTGGAAGGAGGACTGGCTATGAGCATTGAGCATGGGTGCGGGCTGTCGGACCCTGGGGGACGCTTCCGTTTGAGCGTGGACCCTCTGACGACACGCACCCGTGCCCCTCTCCGGCCCCCCCTGTGGGTATGAGTGTGTGCTGTCCGTTCGTCCATGTGTAGCCCAATTCCCTCCAAGGCAGACGTCGCCGATGCATCGCCAACGTCGCCGATACATCGCCGATGCGTGGCGGATCGATCGGCGATGCAGCGAGATCGTCCGACCTCGTCCGCTCGGACCTCATCTGGGCGCCCTCTAACATCGGGAGGGCAATACATATGGGGGGGGGTCCGGACTTGGTGGGCCCCAGAAACGGCAGGGCCGTTTTTTTTTCACCGTTTCCGAGAAAGTGTCCCTTGAAAATGGAAGGGGCTCCAGGATTGGAACTGGAGCGGCAACCCGTAAAAGAACGGCGACGGAACCGGTAAAAACGGCGTCGGAACCGGTAAAAAAACGGCAAAACGGAACCGGTAAAAAAACGGCCCTGTCGTTTCCAGGGCCCACTAAGGGTCCGGAAGTGCAGAAAGCCGCAGACGTGCGCGCGCCGTGGCCAAAACGTCAGGGCGGAAGGTTTGCGTCGTCTTCGGCCCCTAGGAGGGTCCTCGCCGGGCCCAGGGGCCGCCAGGAGAAAGGACCCTGGGTTTGAGGAGCTGGCCACGGGGGACCGGGAGGGGGCGGGAATTCCGGGGACCCCGTGCTGAACAGATCAGCCAGCGCAGATTCCAGACCTTAGTTGCCTCGATACGCCCGTTTTTGAAACGCAACACGTCCCGTGTTCAAGACGTCCGTGTCAATACGTTGCGTGTTGGCTCCACGTATTGGACCACGTTTTGGCGAATGTATCGCGTCGGAGTTACGTTTTCAGCCTACGTGTTGAGCTCCGTATCAATACGCTACGTGTTGCGTGTTGCGTATCGGGGCAACTAAGGAGATCAGAATATTGAAAATCAAGTGGACTGGAGATGATTGGCGTAGAGTTCACTGGAGCAGGCCGGACTGCACCGGGATCTCTACTCCACTCTGTCCAGCTGCCTTCGGGAAATCCCACCGCCGCACCTGTGCAGCAGCGCAGCAGGAAGGAGGCTCAGCGCAGGAAAAGCGCAATTCCGACCTCGTCTCCGTCCGCGCGGTAGGGAGAAGGAGGAGAAGGAGGAGGAGGAGGAAGCGGAGGAGAAGGAGGAGGAGCGGGAGAAAATGAGGATGAGGTGGATAGGGCTTCTGTGGAACTTGGGGCTTCCTGGGTGCCTCGTGGGAGCTTCCTGACAGCTTCGCGGTGGCCTCTTGGAGGCCTCATGAGACCTCTTGAGGGCCTTTTGGGGCCTCTTGGGCCGTCTTAGGAGATGATTGGCCCGTCTGACGGTATGGAGGCCGCCTTAGGGGCCTCTCTAGGTCGCTTTGGTGCCTTTTTGAAGCTGTTCACGGCCGTCTTGGGACACTTGGGGGCCCCTTTTGGCGATTTGCGTGTCTTCTTGGGTCTGTTTCGGGCCCTCTTGGGAGCCTCTTGGGCTGTCGTCGAGCTATAAGTGAGGCCTCTTGAATGCTTCTGTGTCCGTCTTGGGTGGTCGGCGGTCGGAAACCCGAAGAGGTGAGAACCTCAGAACCCACGAATAGTTTAGGCCTCCCCGGGCTCTCCAGGAGGGCCTCTTAGAGACCCCTTGGGCATTCACCAGGGCTTCTTAATCTGCCTTGAGGCAGTCTTGGGAGCCTCTTGAGCCTTCCTGGGCCACCTTGGCGTCCTTGGCTGCCTTGAAAGCCGTCTTGCAGGTCATGAGGCCTGCAATAAGGCATCAAGACATGTCAAGGGGCCCCCAAGACGGCCCAAGAGGTTTCCAAAAGGCCCTCCAGGAGAGCCTGAGGAGGCCAAAACTATTGATTTGTCCTTAGGGGTTGGAAGTATTTGGAGGTTCTGCCGTGTTTGGAGTTCTGACCGCCCAAAGAAAGCCCAAGAGGCCTCTCTGGGCCGTCTTGTTGCTCCCTTGGGGCGCTTCAACCCCATGGGCGATCTCTGGGTCCTCTTGAGCCGACTTGGGGACCTCATAGAAGCTCCTGGGTTGCCTTGGAGCTATCTTGGAGGCCCCTTGGAAGTTTGTTGGGCCGCCTTGGGCGGCCGGAATCCAGACGGGCCAGAATTTCTAAACTTCTCAACAATTCAAAGAACGCATCGTTGGTTTGGGCCCGCTTCGGGCTGTCCAGGAAGACCTATCGGCGCTGCCCAGGCCAGTTTGAAGGCCTCTTGGAGCCCACTTCTTGGGCAGATTGGGGGAGATCTTGAGAAGCTCTGGAGCTATCTCGGGCTATCTTGAGCCGTTTTGGCGTCGTCCTGGCTGTCTCGAATGCCATCTTGGCCGTCTGGAGGCCGAGACGAAAGCCAGAACGCAATTTCAGAGGGGGCGTTTTTTTCAGCGGCGCGTGCGGGGAGGGGGAGGGTGCCGGCCCTAGCAAGTTCAAAACAACAGACACCAAGCAAGCATTCTAACACGCCCGCTGCATGCAGACACGGTGGTTTTGAGCTGCACGGTTCTATTCGACCCGATTCTGCTCTAACAGTTTCTTTACCCTGCTCGGTTCTTCTTTGCCCTGTCGTGTTTCACCTTCTCTATTCTGCTCTACTCGACTCCTACTTCATTCCTACCCCCGACTCTAGCTCTGGTACGCCCTAACATATTTGTTTAATTGAGTTTGACTCTGGTCTGTTGGACCCTACTCGATTCGGTTCCGCACGGGTGCATTCTACCACGTACCCTGCTCGACCCTACCCTGCTCAACTTTGCCAGACTCCACCCGAGCCTAGTCGACACTCTTCCTATTGCATCCACTGTGCTCGAGTATTCCCTCCTCTGCTCTACTCTGCTTCCCTGTAGTCGTATATTACTGGGAGGCTTTAATCAATGGAATGGGCCGGCCTGGGCCAGGTCTGAAATCAAAATTGAAAATTTTCATTGATTTCGTCGCTGCCCTGTGCGACTCCTCATTTTAGATAGTCTCCGATCATTTTGTTTATTTTGATTTTAGCCTTCATTGATTTCGGCCTCCTGACACAATAGCTCCGACTCGACCCTCCTCCAATTTACCCTCCAGCGACCAACTCTCCATGCTCTTCCAGGTCCAGAGCGGGCCCTGGCACTCCATGCCCCGCAGCCTGGAGCCGCCGCTGCCAAGAGCAGGGGTTCGCGGTGCCACGAGGGCCGCGGGCACCGCGCTGGCCGTGCTGCTGTGGCTTCGTCGGCACCTGGATCCGTGATCCAGCGCCACGGGTGCGAAGAACTGTTCCTCCGAAGTGGAATGGGGGGCTTGGAAGCAACGCGTGCTGGCGAAGCCCATTCGCAGTGGACCCTTCACACCCGGGGGCGGGGGCACCACGAGCTATGGCAGCAACGAGGCGCACGCCTTGGGAGGTTAGGCGCTTCGAACAGTAGGCCCACGATACCGAGGAGATCAGGAAGTCCCATTCGGACCTGAAGCGCGAGGCGATGTCGGCCAAGCAGGCAGCCTTCAACGAGCTCAAGGCCGACATCGGAGGAGGCGAAGCAGACAAGGAGATCGCCAACACGTTCGGGAAGCCGGCCGCTAACTACGAGGAGAAGCCAAATACTTCGACGCCAGACTTGCTCCAGGCCGCGAAGCGCAAACTCGAGCAGCTGAAGGGCAAGCATGCCCCCAAGCTTGGCGACATGGAGAACAGAAACAGAAACAGTCAGAGATCGCGGTGCAACTCGAACGCGAGAAGCAGCGTCTCATGGAGCTCGACGGCCAGCCCGTGGAGGTGGAGGCCAACATCAAGAAGGTAACTACACATATGCACGTTGGGAGGAGCAGGGTTCGAAGGACTCAGAGCCGCAGTCGTAGCCAGCAAGCCCCAGCATTGCGTGCAGGGCAACGCAAATGTCGACGCGGCCTACGAGGCGCTCAACCCCTTCCTCCAGGAGGCAGCCGACGAAACAAAAGGAAGCCGAAGCAGCCGTAGACGGGCCTGCCGACGTCGCTGGTCGAGGCGGTTTCAGGCCCGGCGCCGGCGGGGTGCCTGCCCATGGCCCAGGCGACCCAAGCAACAACCAAATTGGGGCGGTCCGGACCTGCTGGACAAACCTAGCAGCCAAAGGGCCGCCAGAAGGAGGACCACAGGACAAAAAGAAGCGCCTCGCGGTCACGTTGCCAAGGGGTTCAAGGTGCAGCGGCAGCCGAGGCCGCGGGGTCAACGCCAACGCCGGCCCCCAGTTCACCGACATCGACGGGATCGAGGGGCTGATCTTTGCCAGGGGACATTCGGGGCGAGGGGGTGGCCAACGGAAGCTTCCCCTACGAGGCCCACCCGCAGCCAGGCTGGGCCGTTGCGATGCAGGCCAGGGTCAAGAAGGCAGGCCCCGATCAGGACAAGTGCTGGTTCGCTGCCAGTTTCCAGAGGGCGCCCAAGTCCAGGGCTGGCCCCAGCACTCCATACCAAGAAGCATGGAGCAGCTGCCGCCGCGCGCAGAGTTCGTTGATCTACGCGGGCCAAAGACCAAGCGCTGGCCCCGCAGCAGCGGCTTCATCGACAATCAGGAGTCGGAGCCCAGGGGGGACAAGTGCGACCAGAAGGACTCCGCCTAGGGTGAAGCACGAAGCATGGAAGGACCGCGAGGCCGCGTGGCTCGGTCGCCGCGAAACCCGCTCGCCACCCAGATGTCAAGGGGCCTCGGAAGGCCCGCGCAGACCCCATCCGCGAGGCCACTGGCAGCACCTGGGCGGCCGACCCGCGCGTCGCGGAAGAGCCTCGCATCAGGAGAGATGGTCGCCGTAACGAGACACGCATGAAGCGGTCGCTACGGAGGCCTGCCCCAGCCTAGCGCCAATTCATCACGCGGGTGCGCAACGCGGTCTCTTCCGGGAGGGGCTGGCTAGATTGGTGCGACATGCGCACGTGCTACTACATGCAGCTCTCCAACTTTTATCACAAGGTTGAGAGGCAGGCGGCAGACCGCGGCTGGCCCCAGGAGGCGGCGCGGCAGACCGCGGCGCAGGAAATCGGCGACGCCGCAGTGCGCAGGGGTCGCGTGGAGAGGCTCTCGCGTCAGCGCTCCATGGTCAGTGGGAAGGTGCCGATCGATGCGAACTTCAGACAGACGCGGCGGGGGCCGCGCCACGGGCCACGCGGGCCGTCAGCTGCGCGGCAGCGGCGCCGCCCCTCGACGCCGGCGCAGGCCTCGGCGCGAACGCGGATGCGGCGGGGCTCCACAAGGGGAAGCTTCAGCACACCAGCGACGGCCACGCCATCGAGAGGCAGGCGGCCAACTGCGGGGGGGCGCCATTTTGCAGGATGGTGCCCCGAGGCTCGCCCCCTCGCCGGGCCTCGCAATTCGCGACGATGAGTATGGGAGCGGGCAGCAGCACTGGGAGCACTGGGAGCAACGGTGCATCTCGCGCGCCCGTGCCTTACTGCAGCGGCCGTCCTTCAACCGCGTCTTCTTTGGGGTGGGCGACGACGAGCCGCTTCTGCCCGCCCAGCGGCTGACCGATGGCCCGCGCCAAAACGCGTGGCGCAAGGGGCATCGCGGGCGCGCGGCGCTCGTCCGCGCAATCTCGGGGGGAGGGCCGTGAGGGGGGTCGCCGGCTGCAGCGAGAGCAGTGCGAGCGGCTGAGTGGCTGGCGCCCTCGCATCGCGCTCACGCCTCGCCGGCGTTCGGCATCAGCGCGCAAAGTTGCAGCGGCGTCATCCCTCGGCGTCGGCGCCAGCGCGGGCGCGAACGGGGGCCGCGCGGCGGGCGCTGACTTGGAGGGGCCCGACCTCGAGCAACCCCGTGGCCTCGAGGGCGGGGCAGCAGAGCGCGCCGACTCCAGGGCGAGGCCAGCCGCGGCGGCGGCCGCGGCAGCGGCGGCGGCGGCGGAAGCCGCGGCCCCAGGCGAAGCCGGCAGTCCTGGCAGAAAAGGGCTCTGCTCCAGCGCCTGCCGTCAGCGACCCACTTGGGGGGGCGACGGCCGCAGCGCGCCCAACCGACAGTCGGCGTCGTGGGCGACCCCAACTTCTGCAACGTCAAGGACCACGCGATGGCCCAGCGGAGCATCGTCGCAGGCCCAGGGCGCCCTGCCCCTCAGTCCGCCTCGGCGCTCTGCTGGCAGGTTGCTCCCCGCAGCCTCTACGACCAGATGAGGGCGGCGGCCCAGGCGGCATGCGACTGCGACGGCGGGGCAGGCATCCGAGGGCGGGCCGCCGCAGCGGCGCCCCCCCGTTTTACGACGGGGCCAGCAGGCGCGGCGGCCCCCGCTTCCCCAGCTAATGCGCCGCGTCCGTCGGCATCTTGACCTTCGCGGCATGGGCTGTGGTTGTCGCCCGCGGGTTGTGCTCAGCAGGTTCGGCATCCCGTCCGGAGTGGCCGAAGGTTTCGCGCGGTGGGCCCGCGGGCGACGCTGGGCCCACCGCCCTCGAGGCCCACCGCGCCCGCGGCGAACCCGGCGGCCCAGCCCGGGAGGAGGGCCCCAGAGGCGGTGCTGACTCCCGGCAGCGAGCCAGCTCTCATTATTTCCAGCACTTGGCTCGCGCGCGCGCGCCCACCTCGCCCTCGGCGCTCGGCTTGGGGCTCGAGCGCGGAAGGCCTGCCAGCGATGAGGCCACAGGCTCGGGCTGCCCACCCCTGTGGGTGGAACTGTTGCCAGCCCGCGTTTACTCGGTTCTTCCTTTCTCTATTCTCCTTTGCTCTACCCAACTCTACTCGGCTCTGCTCTAATCTACACTGCGCTACGTGAATTGACTACCCTTTGCACTTCCCTCTGCAATATGCCCATGCCTTGTTTTGCCCTGCCATATCCGATCCTCATAAACACTATTTCGACCCTGTTCAAGTCTAGCTCTATTGTGATTAATTTCGTCAGATTGTGATAGACAGCGGCCAAACCTACTCGAATATACTTTGGCCCGCTCGACTCGACTCGTTGCTACCCGACCCTAGCCTAGTCCGGTTATGCTCTCCCCTACGCTGCTTTATTATATTATGCTCGGCTCGACTGGACTACTTTTGTATCCTATACTCGAACATAGTGTAATCGAATGTATGTTATCCCGCCCGGTTGGGTGATCGTTTGGACGCCATTGAAAGAGCCGCGAAACGCCATTGCATTAGTAGAGGAAACCATGCGGATACAGAGGAAGCCATGCTGATAGCATGGGGCGCCATGCGTAACAGCGGGAGCTGTGCGCAATAGAAAACGCTAGCAGAGACAACCATGCGCAACATATGGAGCAATGCGCAACAAAGGACGCGTGTAGTGGCAAACTATAAAGCCATGCGGATAGCAGGGGGCGCCATGCGCAGCAAAGGAAGCCATGACCAGCAGAGGAAGCGCGCAACGTCGAATTGTTAGGGGAGGACAATGGACCAATTCTCCACGCCTGGCGCCCAGCCTCCCATAGCCGAGTTTACGTTGAGAGTTGAGAAAATCAGGGCAACGCATGTCCGCAGAGGGGGTCGAGGGTTGCAGGAAAGCGGTTCTGAAGAAGCCTTAAGCGGCCCCTCGAATGCCACCGCAGAACCAAGAGGATCACGGAAAGCGCGCGCTTCATCACCCCACGTGTATTGCCCCCCCCGTTCCCGTTAATGGAGCCGGGGCAAACGCGCGCATCATCGTGACATGACCGAGCACGCCCGCGGGTTCCTGTAGCTCCGCGAGGCACGCCCGACTCTCGGCAGCGCGCGGCCCATGTGATCAGGGGCGGCCAAGAGGGGTGGCATGATCAGGGGGGGGGATATCCCGGCCAGGCCACGATCGTCCCCTGGGCCTCGTGGCCCCCGCCGCTGCGTTCAGCACGTCCACCGTCCCCCCTCCCCCATCGTCCGCGCACGTGCCTCGGGCCATTGTTTGCGCGCCCCCCCCTCCTTAGACGCCTCCCTTTTGGACGTCCCCGAGCTCACGCGTGAACTGTTCGAATGTCCGCGTGCAAATATCTTGGGACCGGCGCCGCCGACGTCGCCCCTGGCGCTCTCAGGATCGATCTTCGGGGGGACCTCGGCACGCGGTGGATCTGGCGATGTGCGGGCCCCGGGGGTCGGGGGGTCCAGAAATATCCACATCCATTGCCTACCGAGGTCCTCGGATATCGATCCCCCAGGCAAAGGTTTAGCTGGGCATCCCAGACGGGGTCCAAGCAGGGTCTGACGATGCGCCGCACCGCCCGATGCATCGGCGGTGCGGCTTGCCGTGGAGCCCGCTGTCCTCCGCGCCGACGGCCACGATGCATCGGCGATGCGGCGCGATCCTCCGACTCCACGCGCTCGGCCCCCATTTTTATGTCGGGCGTGTCCCCCTACAGGGGGATCTTCGGCGAAAAATGAAAAATACCCCAAGAATGCCCCAAAAAGGTCAAACCATATTCAAAAATAGTCCCCTGATTATTCTTGGACTATGTTTTATCATGTGTGGGGTATCTTTAATTCCACGTCGAAAATCCCCCTGTAGGGGGACACGCCCGACTTAGCCCCATTCAAAAGACCTACGTGACGCCGGCCCCGAAGAGTCCGCTCAGACTACCGAGCGCTCTGTGCCAGTGCCGCTGCCGCTTTTTTTGCTATAGCCGCGCGCGGGCGCCCGGCCACGGCCGGCGGCCGGGCGCGCCTCGCCGCGGAGGCGCGCGCCGTTGGCCCCGCAGCTGCCGGGCCTGCTTCTCCCACCACCACCACCACACGTTGGAGGGGAGGAGGAGGAGGAGGACGACGAGGAGGAGGAGGGCGAGGAGGAGGAGGAGGAGGAGGACGACGACGACGAGGAGGAGGAGGACGAGGAGGAGGACGAGGAGGAAAGGAGGAGGAGGAGGAGGAGGAGGAGGAGGAGGAGGAAGAGGAGGAGGAGGGTGAGGATCCCCCCTCCCCCCTCCAGCTCATGGTGGTGGTGGTGGAGGCCAGGCCCATCAGCAGCAGGGCGGCTCAGAGGATGAGGGACCAGACGTGCCCGCGTCGTGAAGACACCTGGGCGCCTCGTTCTGGGCCGCTGTCGCCCCGGCGGACCGTCCAACATCTCGACTCGGGGATGGGAGACCGACCCCAGGGAGAGGGGCGGGCTTCTCGGGGACCGCGTGTGGAGGCAACCTGGACGTCATGTCTGGGACGGCATCGGCCGCCGCTGGCCCGTCCCTCGGCGCCACGGCCGGATCCGCCTCGATGTCCCCTGTCAGGGCGGACCTCAGGAGAGGTCTGGGGGAGTACCACCGGCCTGGAACGTATCCCTATCCCTATGAACGGCATCGCTGGCGTCCCTAAGATTGTCGTCGATGTTTGGCTTGTTAATCTTAGGGATAGGGATACGTTCGAGGCTGCTTAGAGTAGCGTCATCGGATGCTGCTGCGCGTCCCCGGTCGCCACGGCTGGAGTTGCTTCGAAGTCTTGGTCAGAACTCCGAACGCTTTGCTGGAGAGGTCTGGGGAGTAGCGGTATCGGTATGTCTCCGTTCCCCAATCTGCATGCACCCCAGAAGCAAGCCCTGTGGTTTCTACAAGAGTTCCAGTATTGTGCACCTCCCACTCTCAATGAAGCCATCACTCTATGGCCTACAATAGCCACAACGGTTTGCACAACAGTTCCAGAAGCATGCACCGCCGCATGTTTAGCCAGTGCAAAAAAATCACCGTATGTTTAGCCAGTGCCAGTTTTGGGTGCGCACAGGCGAGCATCTGACTCAGAAGCCTCCTCCCCGAGAGCTGGCCCAGTTTCTTGAGCAACCTGCTGGAAAACTGACCCGGTTTCTTGAGCACGTTCGTCGCTTCAGCGTGAACACATAAGTTGGCCCAGGTTTGTTGTGAGAAACTTCGGGAAGCTTGCCCACGCTTCTTAAATTTGACCTTTCTTGATCATAATTCTGGCTGTAATTCGGTCTTCCTTTCGTCGCCCAGGACCTCGCCTATAACATGCGTGACGATGGCAGGGTCATGCTGCGAGGCAGCTCCGCCTGAGATCTGGTGTCGCCGTATTTTCGCACCTGGTGCTCTCGCCGAGTCCAGGGCCCCCGAGACCCTCGCCTCGCTGCGGATCGACCTGGCTCGGGAAGTGCCTCAGAAAGGCAGAGTCGAGGGCTCCGTCTGGGAGTCTCAGTCTTTTCGCACCGGGTGCTCTCGACGGGCCTCGCGAGGCCCTGGAACCCTGGCAGATCGATCTGGCTCGGGAAGCGCGGCACGGCGGTAAACCGAGAGTTCCGATCGTGATGTTTCATGATGCTGCTTTTCCGCGGCGCCGGATCTCAGAGACGGCGCCCCTGTCCTTTTTGGCTGCAGGTTTCAGTTAACGGCCTTGTCCATGACACATGTCTGCAATCTTTGGGCGCCAGTGTGTGCAGCCCGAAGCGATGCTTATCCGTAAGGGCTTCGCCCCATGCCGCCGGCCCCCTGCCCAGACTCTCGGACTCGTCAAAATATTAAAGATCTTCATAATTTGAAAGATTCTTCAAAATATTGAAGATTCGCGTCGTTCTCAAGCGCGCGTGCATACACAGCGCATATGCACGGACACATGCACACGTACATGCGCGCATCGCGGGTGTCTTGTGTAGTTTCATGCGCGCGTGCACGCTCATGTGCATGCGCGTGTGATTTGGAGAATTGCCGACGACACCGACGACGCCGACCCACGGCTACCGCCGACCGCCAACGCCGTCCGCCGACGACGACGATCGACGACGACCGACGACGACCACCGACGACGACGGACGACGGACACTTCGACGACGACCACCGACGACGACGACGACGACGACAACGACGGACGACGTTTCTTGGCCTTCGGGGGGGGGCTTCCTCGTCGCCTCGGGCGAGTTTTGAACGTTAGCTCGGGTCGCTCGCTCGGGGACGTGAGGGGACGGGGTAATCCTCTGAAGCAGGCGTTGTTTGGGGATGCCTCGGTATAGTCGCGATCTTCGTCGACAGGGCCACATTCCTACTTGGAATAATGACAAACTTGCACCCCTGCCACAATTCCTGGGCCGTTGCGACTCGGAGTGGTGAGAATCCGACCCCCTCTGCCGCGCCTTGTGGACTTGGGAGGCGCGTGATGGTGACAACCCGAAGCCCCTGCCGCACATTCTGGGATCCCACTAGCCCTTTGGGCGACAGGTGGTCTAACGAGATTCCTCTTCCCTCTTCCAACAATCTCTGTGGAGGGGTTTACCCCTCCCCTACCCCCTCCCCTGGACCTGGACAGGGGGTGCCGCGATCGGTTGGAGGGTCCTCTTTCGGATCATGCGAGGGTTATTTTTTGAAACCCTCACAGGAACCGTGGCCCCCGAGGGGGGGGGGCGCCGATCGGGACGTTTCCTGTTTTCACCGACCGCCTCCAAGATGCCCCCCAAGAGGCCCTCCAGGGTTCCCAAGAGGCACCCAAGAGCGCCCCAGCACCGCTCCAAGAGGCCCACCGATGGCCCTATGACGGCCCCAGAAGCTCCACGACGGCCCGAAGAGTGCCCAAAGACGGCTCAAATTGCCTCCAAGACGCCCAAGATTGCCTCCGAGACGGCCAATATGGCCCCAATATGTCTCCAAGACGGCCCTAGATGCACCCAGGACGGCCCAAGATAGTATCAGGATGGCCCAACACGGCCAGAGACGACCCCAAGGGGCCTCCGAGACGGATGCGGTTCACTGTTGGATTGTTTGCTGCTACACCTCCCTTGTCAAGGCAACTCGCCTAGCGGCTGCTTCGGGATGGGCTGGTGGGGATACTTTTTTTTACAGCCGCAGGCGGAGGCGCCGACGGCGAGCGGTCACGGTCGGGCTGCGGCCGCGACTAAATTCCCGGGCGCGCGCGGGGGCCGGGGATCAGGCGGCGGGGGGGGGGCAGCAACCCAGGGCGTCTGAGAGGCCAGGCGGGCGTGCAATCCCAGGGTGTCTGCAAGGACAGCCCAAGGAAACGTGTAAGGGCAAACCCAGGGAGTCTGAGAGAACAGCCACCTGGTGGGGATACGCGAAGCGTGAAGAATTGTGGACGCCAGGAACAGTGAGAACTCGAAGCCCTTTGCCGCGTTATCTGGACCTGGGTGCGTGTGTGTATTGATGCATTACGAACGTAAGCGCTATGTATGTGTATGTGCGTATATGCTCATATGTATGTAACTATGAACGTGCAGTTTATATAGCAAAAATGTACACAATTGCATGTGCGGTTATATTGTCATTACCATGTGTGCTATGATGTCCTGTCTCGCTCGTGTCGTCCCTGTCGATACACGCTCGATGCGTGCAACGACTAGAACAAAACGGATGAAACTAGACAAGTTGTTTTTCAGGCGAACCGAACGCAAGCTCCAGGCGTCCACTCAAGAAGCATCCCAGTGCAACACTTCAAAGAAACGTTCTGTTGCACGCCTTTGTGGAAGGGTCCATTTATTGTGTTTTGTATATTCCTGTCACTTTGCCAACCATGGATTCGGATGCGTATGCTTGAACAAAGCGTGGATTTACCATGCTTGCTTGTTTTCCCAGATGTGCAACGGCATAATGCAATTTTGGCCGCTCTGACCACGATCTTTTCATGGCAACTGCTGCGAGGTGGGCCAACATCTGCCAAGTTCTGCCAAGCCGCTCGGTGTTTTTTTAACGATATTATTTCATCGTCCGATAACCAAACGCCAGCATCATACATGATGTTGTGCAGTATGTTGATTGATTCGATCACCTTAAGCATGTGCTTGTTTTCCGCCGACGGGTCGCGGTGGCAAGCCCTTCTCTGAAGGCCCTCACAAAAAGGAGCTGCGCAACGAGTGTTCGCAGCTTTGACCCCCTGTCCATGAAGATCGGGAAAGCCGTCCCCCATCAAATTTGATAGCTTCAGTGTGGGAAGACGGCTGTTCACGTTGGAACGTTTGTAAAACGCAAACAAGTCATTGTTCAGGAAGGCCAACCGATCTTCTTGGGTGTGTCGTGGCAGCACCCCGTCGCGCGCCGCTACTTGCGCGTGGAATATGCGTCCGATCGCAGTACTCGTGATTCCATGGTGATCGAAGAGGTGCAGTATGTCGTAGCGAAATGTACACCTATTCCACCAACCGTGGGCGACCACTGGGTGCAAAGGCCGACGGAAACATGTCATGTACGTTTCATTATGTCCAAGAGTGCCCCTCCACGCTGCGCCTGCACTAAAGTCATTATGGGGGACAGTTGAGCTATTTGCATCGCACTCGCAACAACAATTGTGAGACAAATGGCGCACCATCCCCAGTTCGTTGCATGCGTATTCAAGGTCGCTGCCCCAAAAAACTAGAATTGCACCCCATTCTTGATCGTCGATTGGCCCTGCGAGTTTATCAAAACTCTCCATGATGGGGTGCCACGGTTTATATTCCAAGCTGTCGTCCTTCACCCCCGTGGCCATGAGAATTCTGGTGTCGATATCGCCGCCGTGCCTTGTCAATGAAAAGTAGCACCTCGCATAAGTATTGGCAGTGTCCGAAAACGGCCCAGCATCATCGAACAATTGCAGAGGAACGTACCATTTCAATTGCCCTGGCGTGCGGCCTCTCAGAAAAGAGTCGCGGCGCCACAAGTCTCGGCCGCCGTCGCGAGATTTGAGGGTTGCCCACCAATCAGTCATTCCATTACTGTACGCCCCGAGATGCCTAGCGAACTTGTCTGGGTTCAGCTTCCGCAGAAAGTGAAACGCATCGTAAGGGAGCAAGACTGTGTCAACCACGCTGTCATGCAAACTGAACGTCGGAGGAAGCCTTTCTCTAGGGACGATACTTTCCAACAGTCGCCCTGAATTCTGCAAGCTTTTAATCCAACGCGCCAACCTTCTGACGAGCTCATCGCTGTCCTCTTTGGGCTGAGCCGATACATTCCTGACGACGTCCGATGCAATTGCCTTGCCCCGCGCCCAGCCATGCATCCAATGTGCTACTTCGGAATTCCAACCCCATGGCAACGATCCATTGGGCTGGCGCGTCGGCGGTCTTGACCGATGTCGATGTCGCCAGCCTGGCATGCAGCCTTGAGCCAACATGGCTGATCTACATTTGGCGGAGCTTGACTAGACCAACGGTCGAAGTTGAGACATGTACGCATACCCAGTCCCGTCTGCAGCACGCTGGCCCTGTCAATCCTCACCCCTATAGGGCGGAACTCGACTAGACCAAGACCTCGCAACAAACTAGACTGACGTTTTTTGTGTTAAACATAGCGAACCGCATGGATCAGAACCCCCCCTCCCCCCCTCCCATGGGGGCCCTGAGGAGGGGTGCTTCCAGAGGAGTGGGGGGTGGAGGAGTTGTTTTTCAAATCGATTTGAAACAAACATCGGTGGCGCTTTTGTTTCTGGCAGGGCGGTGGCTATGGAGATGGCGGCATGGCGATGAATATGATGATGATGTTTGTTTTCTTTTGTTTTGCCAGGCGCTATTCCTCCTTGACTCATCTTTTCATCCTATTCCTCCTCCTCCCTCCCTCCCTCCCCCCCCCCTTCCCTCCCCCCTCCACGCGGTGTTTTTGTTTTTTCTTTTCCGAGTTGGCAGCACGAGGCCCACATCCTCGCACAGCCCATGCCCGACAGAAATTGCATGACGGCCGTGCTCCCCGCAAGGCCAGGCAGCCCAGAAGCTCGCGTCTCAGGCCTCCCCGTCGGTGTCCGCGGCGGCAGACCGCTCCCTCTTCTTGGTCAACCTCGTTGCGATCGTGGCCATCATAGACAGGTAATCCCTGACCGTGGCCACGTCGTCCTTCAGCTCATCTGCAAGCGCTGCGGCGTTCTCGACCTCCTCTGTTGGGATCGCGTCGCCGTGCGATACTTTCTCCAAGAATTTGATGATCTTGGAATCATTCTTCTTCGCGGCCTTGAAGCTTGCGTTTGCCTCCGCGTAGAACTGCTCAACGTGCCTGCGAGGATTGGGCATGACATGCCGCAGCCTCGTCGGACAAACGCCCACGTGCACAAATAGTCGTGTGAGGGATGTGGCGCATCGAATGCAATTCAACTCAAATGTGCAACTCATGTCATCAAGGTGTACATACAATTTCACACGAAAGGAGAAACATTCAGACATTTTCAGAGATGTTCAGATATGTTCCGACTTTGTTCTTATTGTTTTTCTTTTTAAAAGTTTTGAAAACTTCTGATAATATTTGAAAATCTCTGGAAATCTTTGAACATCTCTGAAACGCATCCGGCCAGCTTGATGTTGGGAGAGAGAACGCGCGCAGTTGCCTTTGTGCCAGCAGCCTGAGCAGCCAGCACGACATGAGTAACGATTTGGTTATGGGGCGTTTGCCCTGAGGCCGAGGCTTGCCATGCTTATCCAGGGACCTGTTCTCCGAGAACTTCGCCAGCTTCATCTTGAAGTCGACTGTCACAGCACTGTACGCGTTGTGCTGCTTCTTGATCTCGGAGATCTTGGCCCTGTCCTCGGTCGGCTGCTCCTCCTCCTCCGGTGGCGGTGGCCTCATCGCCGCCTGATCCCTTGGTGCTGCGACGCGCCTCATTCACTGTGCCAACTTCTGTCACGCTCTTTTTCTCAACGACCTTGTACTGCAGCTGCTCTTCCTCAGGGAGCTCCTTTGTCGTCGGGTCATCGTGGTCGAGGTCCTCGTGGGGCCTAGTCAGTGCCTAGTCAGTATCTTTCCTTGTTTTGCTTGAACACGGACCAGCGCGGGGCCGTTTTTCTGCGTGATGGCCGTCCACGGCATCCAACTCTCAGTGACCTTCTTCATCTCGGTGTCGCGGATGATCTCGATGCCCTCGAAGTACGCGTCCTTGAAGTCCACCGTAGCGAGAGTCTGTCGAATGAATTCTTCCTTCTCCGCTGACTTTGACGCCTCGAGGTGCTTCAGGCCTTTGTCGTAGAACTCCTTGATGCGATGTGGTGCCTTCGTCAGCTTGCATGCGAAATCGTTCTGCCTTTTCTTGTCCTGCGCGGCAGCATCCACGCACACCTGCTTCTCCTGTTTCACTACTTTCACGGCCTTTTTCGGCGCCATCGCGGATTGCAGCACCCCTTCAACAATCCTGGAGCCTCAAAGTGCCATGGGCTGTAACGCATGTCGAGCCAGGACTCGCAATTGAGACGCGCGCCCCGTCTGCAGCATGCTGGCCCTGTCAAGCCCCGCCCCGTATAGGGCGAAACTCGACGAGACCAAGGCAGCGCAACAAACTAGACATGCGTGTTTTTCATTGATCAGACCCCCCTCCCGAAGGGCCCTGAGGAGGGACATCTCCAGAGGAGTGGGGGGTGGAGGAGTTTTTGTTCAAATCGACTAAAAAAACCGTGCGCGTTTTTTTTCTGGCAGGGCGGCGGCTATGAAGATGGCGGCATGGCGATGACGATGGTGATGCTTTTTTTTCCTCAGGCGCTGCGGTTCAACGAGCTCTAGACCCTCATCTACCAACTCGACGGTAGGCCGTCGAGAACTGAGCGCCAAACCGCCTTTTCTTATTTGCTTGTTGTTCCTCCTCGCTGGGCCGCTACGTCTCATGTACCTGTCGAGCCACACCTGTGCGGCCTGTTCAGGGTCGTCCTTAAGACGTTTGATGCGCTCTGCAATTCTCTTGCAGCCTCCCTCCCGTTTTCTCTTATTTTTTTTGGTGTTGGGCTTCTCGGCCTTCTCGGCATCTACGTTCGAGGTGTCGTCGGTGTCTGCCTGGGCGTCCACAGCATCAGTCAGCTTGTCCTCGCGCTGCTTCTCGACCTGCTGATCGGCTGACTCCATGTGGCCAGCTCGTCCTTGCACTGGTCCTTTGGAATATGTAGTTGTATTTCCAGAAGACGAGCCCGCCCCATGGTAGATGCGAGCGCCTCCTACAAGCGAAGGCCACTTGACCATTGCTGTGCATGTGCTGCAGCGCGCGCTTGAGCCACAAATGCGCCAGAACCACAACACATACCAAATTCGCATTCTGCGCGTCGCCGCCCTGTCGGCAAAGAGCGCGACTAGACCACGACAGGCAAAATGCGAGGCCCTGTCGACGAAGATCACGACTAGACCCCGACAGGCCCTGTCGATGAAGATCGCGACTAGACCAAGATGCATGGATGGGGGGGCGAGCGATTGGACATGTACATTTTATCGCTCCCGCCGCGCGTGCACTGTGCAGTCCATACTAACTGCGCGCCAACGTCGCCATGCGATCGGCGGCTGCTTTTTGTTCTCAATCTTGAGCGTTCCGCTCTCCAACTCCTTCTTGATCGTTTCGAATATCTCCCCATGATTTGTGGATGTCTTTGCGTTGCATGTAATGAAACAGCGCCTATTGATCATCATGTATGTTTCCGCCTTGTGCGGTGGGTTTCTCCTCCTCATGATCTGCACCTTCAACGGGCCGTCGCTGGCGACAATGGCCGCCGCTGGTTTCCACGAAGTGCAGGCCTCATTGGAGGCTTCCGAACTGGTGCCGCTGTTTCTTCTGGAGCTGCTGTCGGTTGTTCGCCTTCGTCGTGTTTATCCCGAGCTGCTTTCACTTGTGCGTTGTGTCCACCGCGACGAGGATCAACGTGCTGAGTCTTCCTTAAAGCTGCTCTGGATGTCGAGGAGTGCTCTGAGGGGGCGTTGCTGAGCAAATCAACTGTGTCCAATCCTTTTTTTAATTTGCATTCGTCGCATCGGCAGTCGGCACTGCAGAAGATAACCGAGCTCTGCCTGCTTGGGTCACTCGCTATCTTGGCGATGTTTCTCTTACGACTTGCAGAGCCCGCGCTGGCTGAAGGGATTTCGTCGGCGCCGACGGAGCCATCGCATGTGGCAATCATACCTATCAAAATATTGACTTTTCCTGACAAGAACATTGTTCCTGACTTTTCCAAATCCACGATGTGTTTGCAAATCACCCGCAAACGGTCGCACGAATCGAAAACCCATTTATCAATATTGTCGCCATAAGCTTTTTGCGCGGCCTTGCTCATGATACCATATTTGCACGGTAGGGCCATCCAGACTACACGTAGCAAAGACAGCGCAGGAAAGCCCAACGGTGCGAACGACAATACAATTTTCAATCTGTCGAAATAGAATTCTAAGTCGTCTCGGTCAGGTCCTCGATCTCGCCTTCGTTTGTCGTAGGATGAGAATTCCCAGTCCCAGCCCAGGGACTCTGATTTGGTCTTGGCGAACGGGGCGAGGAGTGCGCCCATTTTTTCAGTGTCAAATCTGTCATTTGGCGTCCGCTTTGGTGGCATTATGAATGGCAACTTCGGTATCGGCAATTGTTTGGGGCCAAAGCGGCTACGGATGGGTCATGGCATGTGCGCAAAATGGTAATCCCAGGAGCCCTTTGGGCGGCAGGTGGTCTAACGAGATCCCTCTTCCCTCTTCCAACAGCCCCTCTTCCCTTTCGGGGGGGGGGCCTCCCCTTATCCCTTGGACCTGGACAGGTGGTGCCGCGATCGGTTGGGGGCCCTTTTCGGACCATGCGAGGGCGTTTTTCTGCGACCTCTCACAAGGATTGTGGCCTCCGAAGGGGGACGCCGATCGGGACGCTTCCTCTTTTCGCCGACCGCCTCCAAGATGGCCCCAAGAGGCCCTCCAGAGCTCCCAGGATGCCCACAAGAACGCCCCAAGACCGCCCCACGAGGCCCCAAGATGGCCCCAGGGCGGTCCAGAAGCCCCCAAGACGGCCCGAAGAGGACCCACTGACGGCTCAAGTGGCCGCCAAGACGCCCAAGATGGCTTCCAACACGGCCAAGATGGCCCCAAGAAGGCCCAGGATGGCCCCAAGATGTCCCCAAGACGGCCCAAGATGCACCCAAGACGGCCCAAGATAGCCTCAGGATGGCCCAAGACGGCCAGAGACGGCCCCGAAGGGCCTCCAAGACGGATGTAGTTCACTTTTGGATCGATTGTTGTTACATTTCCCTCATCAAGGCAACTCGCCTGGCGGCTGTTTTGGGATGGGCTGGTGGGGATACGCGAAGCGTGAATAATAAATTACTTTATTCTGCAAGGCTACCTCAGAGGTGTCTCAAGAAAACTTAATATCCTTTTTTGCGGGAGGTCTGGACCAAACGGTTACCAGATGCACCGCCGCATGCGCAAGTGCACGCCGCGGCCCAGTGATTCCCGACGACGCCGACCGACGGCGACCGCCGACCGCCGACGCCGACCGCCGACGACGCCGATCGACGACGACCGACGGCGACTACCGACGACGACGACGACGGACGACGGACGACGGACGACGACGATGACGACGACGCCGGCGACGACGACGGACGACGTTTCTTGGCCTTCGGGAGGGGGGCCTTCGAAGGCCACGGATTAGCCCCTCGGTCGAGTTTTGAACGTTAGCTCGGGTCGCTCGCTCGGGGACGTGAGGGGAGGGGGTTAATCCTCTGAAACAGGCGCTGTTTGGGGATGCCGATGTCTAGTCGCGATCTTCGTCGACATGCGCGTGCCCGCGCATATACACCCGCGATGCGCGCATGTACGCGTGCGTGCGTTTGGGAATGAGGCAAATCTTCTATATTTTAAAGAATCTTTAAAATTATGATGATCTTCAATATTTTGGCGATACCGAGAGTCTGGGTGTCTCGGATAATGGGAGATGCAAAAGCTGAATCATGAGGCCTGGGCGCCGCCGTGAAGCAGTGTCGGGAACTGTTTGATTTTCGACCCTGACCCTACGGATCTGCGTCACGGGTGCCACCGAATTTCAGAAATGTGGCAAATTCCGCATGCTTCCCCAGTCAGAGCTTGCTTCTGTAGGGGTCCTAGCGGATATAAAGCTGAGGTGAGGTGGGCGGCCGATTTCGGTGGCCGGGGCCGGGTGCCCGGGTGCCCGGGGGTGCCCAGGTGGCCGATTTCGGTGGCCGTGCCCGGGTGCCCAGGGGTGCCCAGGGGTGCCCGGGGGTGCCCGGGGGTGCCCGGGTGCCCGGGGGTGCCCAATAGCCCAATAGCCTTATAGCCCTATAGCCCTATAGCCGTACAGCCCTATAGCCCTGTAGCCCTATAGCCTTATATCCCTATAGCCCTAATTGCCTTATATCCCTATAGCCCTATAGCCCCATAGCCCATATAGCTCTATAGCCCCATAGCCCTATAGCCCTATGGCCCTATGGGTCACAGTCCTATAGCCCGATAGCCCTATAGCCCTATACCCCGATAGCCGTATAGCCCAATAGGCCTGTAGCCCTATAGCCCTATAGCCCTATAGCCCTAACAAAAATCTGATTGGGTTTTTTCTCCGGTGTCATTTTGGACCCTGACCCTACGGAGCTGCGTGAGGTGTGCCGCCGAATTTCAGAAATGTAACAAATTCCGCATGTTTTTGGATCCTGACCCTGCCGATCCGCGTGAGGGTTGCCGCCGAATTTCAGAAATGTTGCAGATTCTAAGTGTTTTTGGACCACGACCCAACGGATCTGCGTCAGAGGTGCCGCCGAATTTCAGAAATGTGGCAAATTCTTTGTGTTTTGGGACCCTGACCCTGCCGATCTGCGTGACGGGTGCCGCCGAATTTGAGAAATGTCGAGAATTTGACCCTGCCGATCTGCGTGAGGGGTGCCGCCGGATTTCAAACATGTAACACATTCCTTATGTTGTTGGACCCTGACCCAGCCGATCTGTGTGAGTGGTGCCGCTGAATTTCAGAAATGAAGCAAATCCAGTGTGATTTTGGACCCTGACCCCGCCGATCTGCATGATTTTTGCACCCTGACCCCGCCGATCTGCGTGAGGGGTGCCACCGAATTTTAGAAATGTGGCAAATCCGTTATGTTTTAGCACCTTGACCCCGCCGATTTGCATGAGGGGTGTCACCGAATTTAAGAAATGCGCCAAATCCCATGTGTTTTTGGACCCTGACCCCGCCGATCTACATCAGGGGTGCCAGCAAATTTCAGACATGTGGCAATTTCCTTGTTTTTTTTTACCCTGACCCCGCCGGTCTGCGTGAGGGGTGCCACCGAATTTCAGAGATGTGGCAAATCCCTTGTGTTTTTGCACCCTGACCCCGCCGATCTGCGTGAGGGGTGCCACCGAATTTCGGACATGCAGCAAATCCCATGTGTTTTTGGACCCTGACCCCGCCGATCTGCGTGAGGGGTGCCAATTTGTTCCCCCCCAGAAATTCCCACCCAGGGCGTGGTAAAAATGTTTGTTTTGGGCCTCCCCCCCTCGCGCGGCCCATCAACAAGGAACAGAAAGCAGCAAGAAGCAGAACTGTAACAAGGAACAGTGAGCAGCAAGAAGCAGAACTGTAACAGTGGAAACTGGAAGCTGCAACTGGCACAGGAAACTGCGAAGCTTAGCCCTACAGCCTGGTGGCCCCACAAGGGGGCCGGCGGATTCTCCGCTCCCGCCCCCTTGCACCGCAAGATGGTGTCAGAGCGAGCTTGTTCAGCAAGTACCTTGAGGCGGTGAGTGGCGCCACGATTTTTCACGCACAAAGCTTGCGACACGTTTGATTTAATGGACGCAGGTTTCACTAGACTCGGTGAGTGCAGCCTGGCCCGCACATTCAAAATGCCCGCGAGGTCATGATTCGCTTTGACGCCCGATTGCTCCGAACGATGCGAAGACACCGGAACACAATTCAGCACTATCACCGCGAATCTGCAGAAGCAGAAGCAGCATCATGAACAGCAGCGTCAGCAGCAGGATGATCAGAGGCGTCTCGGCAACATCACTGTGGTTACAACAAGAACTCAGGCATCATAGACAGGATAGAGCGCGCGCGTGGGGCCCGATAGACTGCAAGGGGGGCCCCAGCTTGAAGCTACCCCCCTCCCCCCTTCCTTGCTAAAGGGGGGGGGAGCTTCGGAAGCCCCCCCCCCCCTCCCCCTCTTTTCGTGGTTCGGAAAGGGGGGGGGGGGGGGGCTTCCAAGCTACCCCCCCCCTCCCTCCTTTAATTGAGCCGGGGTGAGCCACCCCCCCCCTTTGAAAGGGGGGGGGGCTTCGGAAGCTACCCCCCCCTCCCTTTTCGTGGCCGGAAAGGGGGGGGGGCTTCCAAGCTACCCCCCCCCCTCCCTCCTTTTAATGGAGCTGGGGTGAGCCACCCCCCCCCCTTTGAAAGGGGGGGGGGGGCTTTGGAAGCTCCCCCCCCCTCCCTCCCTTGGTGCAAAAGGGGGGGGGGGGGCTTGAAGCTCCCCCCCCTTCCCCCCTTTGGCCGCCCAGCTCCCGGAGCCATCGCCCTCCCTTTCGCCTCCATTTATTCCCGCCCCTCTCCCTCCTCCTCTTCTCCTCCGTTTGCCTCCTCCTCTTCCTCGTCCTCCTCATCCTCCTCATAGTCATCATCGTCATCCCCCCTTCCCCCCTTTGGCCGCCCAGCTCCTGAAGCCATCGCCCTCCCTTTCGCCTCCATGTATTCCCGCCCCTCTCCCTCCTCTTCTTCCTTTTGCCTCCTCCCCTTCCTCGTCCTCCTCATCCTCCTCATAGTCATCATCGTCATTATCATTATTACTTTTATTATCATCATCAGCATCATCATCATCATTTTCATCATCATCATCATCATCATCATCATCATCATCATCATCATCATCGTACTCCCCCGCGGGTCCTTCCGTTCCGTTCCGTTCCTCCTCCTCCTCGGTTTTCTCCTCCTCCTCCTCCATTTGTCCCTCCTCCTCCTCCTCCGTATCATCATCATCATCATCATCATCATCATCCTCTTCTTCCTCCTCCTCCTCCTCGTTATCCTCCTCCTCCGTTTCCCCATCCTCCTCCTCTTCCTCCTCCTCCTCTTCCTCCTCCTCCATCCTCTCCTCCTCCTCCTCCTCCTCCTCCTCCTCCTCCTCCTCCTCCTCCTCCTCGTCCATGTCCTCCTCCTCCTCCTCCCCCTCCTCCGTAGCCATTTTGGCTCAAGGCTAAACGTAACGAAGGTTCGGTGAACCGAGGTGTTGCGATTAGCTTTGGACCCATCCGTAGCCTCCTGGCTCAGTGATCGGGGCGCCCTGCGCGCAGGCCGCCGCATGCCTGTGGCGTCTCTCGGCGTCAAGAAGCCGAAGAAGCCGAAGAAGGGCCCGAGGAAGCACGATATCGATGGCGACAACAGTGACGCCTCAGGGACCACTGCTCAGCCTCCTGGTGGCGCTGGTGCTTCTGCTGCTCCCGCTGCAGATAATCTTCCTGCCGCTGCTGATTGCGACCTTGCTCATGGCGCTCATGGTGAAGATGAAAATGAAGATTGGGGCTGGGAAGAGACTGGACCAGACGAGTACACTCGGTACCTGGCGAAGGAGGAGGCCACCAAGCTGCTCCGCGAATACAAGCAGACGATGCTGGACTCCATCAAGTCCACAGTGGACGAGGCCATCAACCCCTTCGCCGAGCAGCTCTCCAAGCACGCCGAGTCCGCTGCTGAACTCGCCCAAGGTGTCAAGGACCTCCCCAAGATGGTTGACGATGCTGCTGCTAAGCGCTTGGATGGTCAGAATCGCCGCCTTCAGGAGCAGATCGACGGGATGCATACTCGGCTTCGCGCCCATGAGACCAGACTGGACACCCACGACTCCGACACTTCCTACCTCAAGGCCGAGATCAGCAAGCTGCACGAGCTCCTCGCCGTCGCCAACGATGTCCCCAAGGCCCCGCTGCTCTCCGCCGCCGGCTTTGATCGTGATACCGACCCGTGTGTTATCAAAGTCATCGCAGCCAAGATCACGGCCCTCGATCAGGTTCAGCAGACCCTCTCTGATTGGATCGCTGAGGTTGGTGTTGAGCCTAAATTATTCAAGATCTCTTCCCCTGAAGCCGTCAGCCGCAGCTTCTCCATCAACTTCGTTGGTGCCCCCGCCCCCGCTGCTCGTCGCGTTGCCAAGGTGCTTGGTGCCCAACGCCTCGGGCCTGGCCAATGGACCAATGGAAGCGCTTCGAGACCACAGCAGCAGACGGACAGTCCACGGCTCTTCACATCGGCCCCGACAAGAATCCGCGGCCGATTCGCAAGGAAATGCAGGCCCGGAAAATTCGAGACGCTTTCAAAGAGATCGATTCTTCCCAGCGCTGGCATGTTGACAAAGACCGAGGCTATGTCATGGCAGGCTGGGACCCGATTCTCAAGATCAGCCCGAACCCTGACAACGCACCCTCCACGCTCAACTGGGCCGACAACCTCATTGCGAAGCTTGGCCTTCCGAAGCAACAGTTATCCGCAGCTGCTGCTGCCATCGTCGCACCGCCAGAATCGGCTGAGTGGTGTCTTCAGTGGACTGTGGAGGTTACTTCGAGGTGAGTATCGAGGGCGCGGTTTGGTTTCCTTTACTTCATGGAATGCGAGGGCGCTTCTTCAATGCCAGGGTGCTCGCTCCAAGGTGAAGTTGGACTACCTTCGTCGGTTGGACTTTTTGAATGGGGTGATTTGCCTTCAGGAGGTGCATCAAGATGCTGTGAAACTACGAGACTTCATCGGGAAAGCTCATCGTGGTGTGCGCATTTTCTCTTCCCATTGCGAGGAATCGCTAGTGAAAGGCGGGGTCGCCGCAGTCTTGCCTGCCTCCTGTCCTGCAGTGGTTCATGCTGACGAACTTGTCCCAGGACGCGTGCTCCGTCTTCATCTGCAGTATGAAGGGGCACGTCTCTTCCACTACAATGTACACAACCATGGTATCAGTAGCGCCCAATTCCTGCAGGTAGGTAGGGCGCTTGGGGCAGATACCAGTTTTGCCAAACGTTCTCAGTTGACGGCCACCGTGGCAGTACATGGGGACTTCAATTTTGCCGCTTCATCTCCTCTTCTTCTCCACCGTCCTGGTCGCCGAGGGGGCCCAGGTAAAGGACAGCATGCTCAAGCCGCCAAATGGGCCAGGCTATTGGCACCTCTCATGAAGTTCACGTCGGACGAACCTACTCATTATGACGCCAACGCTCGCTCCGTCTCTGCCATAGATAGGCTCTGGGTCAGTCTCCCTGGTTGGATTGCATGCCAAATTCATGCCGTTCCACGCGTGCTGGGGCTTCCCGAGGCCTTAGCCGAGAAAGAGGTGAGTGACCACGCAGCCCAGTCGTGCTCTTTCTCGCAGCGATCCTCAAAGCCCGAGGAGTATCGCAAGATCCCGAGGCACATTTTCGAGTCCAAAGCGTTCCAGGACTTGCTGGGTACCATTACTCGCCAGCTAGATTTCACGTCCCGCTCGCCTCCCAGGCAGATTGAACTCTTCAAGTGGGCAGTGAAGGAGGTTGCGCGTAAGATTCGCGATCGTCTGATGCGGCACGACTCCGAGTCACTGGGCTCTCAGCTTCTGCTAGCGAGGCAGATTTCTCGGGCGGTTTGGCGCAATGGTGTTTCTCTCGCCGTTCGCCTTCGTGCGACTCATCAGACAACCAGAGACTTCGTGGACGACTCGTCGGGCACCGTCTTGCTTGTTCATGCTCCCTCGCTCCAGCAGTGGAGCGAAGCAGTGCAAGTGCGTCATGCTGACCTCCGCCGCCGCCACCTGGAAGCAGAGCTCGCGGGTGGACGGTCTTCCCCTCAGCTCCGCCACCAACTTCGAGCTCTCGAGAGGCGTGCAGCTATTTGGTCACCTCTTTCTCGTCGGCTGGTTCTTCAAGGCATCAAAGATTCAGGTGCTGGCGCATCCTCAACTTCTGACGAGATTCACATGCACGACAAGCTGGTGGAGCACTGGGGTCCGATTTTCACTGCCAAACCTATCAATGTCCCCGCTGCCCGCGAGTATGTGAAGGGACTGGTCCAGCCAATGTGTTTTGATGAGGTGCCGCCACCGACCCCGTCACTTCTTCGTGCAGTCGCCGAGAAGTTTCGCCACTCAGAGCCGGGCCTAGACGGCATTCCCTACTCGGCGTGGAGCTCATCATCGCTTGGTCTCTCGGTGCTCTCAGAGGACATGATGTGGATTCTCTTTGGGCAGGCGTTGTTCAAGTCATCCAACGATACTCTCCAAGTGTGGCTTCCGAAAGGCGATGACCCTGCGGACAGTGCGGCCGCAGGATGCACTCGGTCACCGTCCTCGGTTAGAGTGCTTGGACTGCGCAATACAGACATTAAGATCATCACGGCAAAGAACAATGCACGCTTCAGTGTTCTTCTCAAAACTCGGGCCCCTCGCTCTCAGCGAGGCTTTACCCCGCAGGGGAACTTTGGACTGAACATTCTGGAGCTCGACACGGTCAGCAGGGTCTACTCCGATGTGCCGTCAGCCGAATCCAATGGCCCAGTCTTGATTGCACTTGACTATGGAGCTGCTTTTCCCAGTCTCTCTCAGGAGGTCATGTATGTGGTGCTCAACGAGATGCAGGTGCCGCGTGCCTTCCTGTCCATCATCGACCAGCTGCATTTAGAGCTCGAGGCTTTTGCAATGGTCCGCAATACTCCTACCCATGCATGGCGGGTTACGTCTGGCATTGTCCAGGGCTGCTCATTGAGCGGTTCACTCTACGCTGCGGCCACTGCCCTTTTTCTGGTCGACCTCCAGCGCAAGCTTGAGGCACCGAGGAAAGGTATTGCTCGTGCTTGTGCCGACGACATTGGCGCCGCCATCAGAGACATTCTCAGCCTGTCCATCTTAGCGGACATCATGCTTCTTGCTGGGAGATTTGCCACGCTGT